ATTTTGGCACAAACCCAAAACCCTTTTGCTTAAGTTTTTTTTGTGCTTTTCCCTTAGTTTCATGAATGGGTTTTTGTTTCTTAACCTTGGGTACTGACAAACGGAGCCTCCTGTGGAATGGGTTGTGCTCAAAATTTGGGGTTTTGACACAGAGGCACTTCCCGCTGAAACCCCTTTATCATCCAATAAAATTTTGAATTTTTGGGGTAGTGGAGACATCGGGGCACTGAACCATTTTAAAAAGCATACATATGGGTTTCTCATCCTGCGAAAACAACGACACCTTGCATAAGGAACAATTTCTTTCTGGAATACGCACTCTTGCTGGTTTGGATCCTCTGAGCCTTGGGGTATCAAGCTTGTCGGGGTTTTCCAAAAACTGTTCCGATGTTAATAATCCCCTCTGTCTTCACCTGAACTGTGTGGAACACATTGCCTTTTAAATGTTTTAAATTTGCTTTTTACTGTGATGTTTCCCATATTATTACTTTTGACTTCCACAACATTGAACTTGATCGGATCATCAGTACTAAAGGAGTGAATTTTTGGTGACTGCTTCCCGCAAATTTACATCAAAAAAAACAAATTCCCGAGTGAGTTTTCCAGTGGGGAAAAGGGAAATGAAGACTCAAGGATTTTTTTATATACTGCTGACAAGGCTTTCCTTTTCCCGGAAATTTATATAATGACCTGCACAAATGTTTGCACATGGGGCTAAGAGGGGTAGTATGGGCACTGTAAAGGTAAATTTTTTGGTGCCATGGACCTGCAATATTTGCATGACAATTGCAAGGGTCATCACATATTTGTACGTACTGAAAATGTATGCAGTCAGGCTAGGTAAGCTGCAGTACTGTAAAGGGGGGTTTGCCTCAGTAAAAAAAAAGATCTGCAAAAAAAAAAAAAAGGGCATTAAAAGGCTTACAATATTTACAACCATAATCTTTGTTTAAAATTTTGTTACATAAACATTCATTTAATATGTCAAGTTTTCCAAAATTTTTTTTAAGCATTTTTATTAAAATACCTTTAGACCAAAAAAAAATACATGGTTGTTCCCCTAAGGTGAGTGGTCGCTAAAGCTCTCGCTTCACACATCGAGGGGTTGGGTTCGTTCCCCTGAGAGTAGAAAAACTGGCTTTTTTTTACACCGGTTGCCTTGTTCCTTTAGTAAAATGGGTACCCGAGAGTTTGTCAATTGGGGGTGGGGCGCATCCGGGAATAAAGACCTAACTTGCAGAAAGCTTTGCATAACAAGTGACTCTTTTATAGTAAAGGTCTTTTTGGGCAGCTAGGGGCCGTTACCATGTAACTACTTGTATAAATAAAGAAATTATTATTCTTAAAGAATCTGTGAAGCAGCACATTATTTGAATCGCACTATGTTTACTTGTAATCACATATGCAAAAAATGGAATTAGTCCCGCCCACTGGGAAAAATGAATGATAAACAAGTTTTTATTTATTTTTTTAAAAAATAAGGTTTTGGGCATCATAATCCCGGGAATCAGTGATCCGGCACTAACTTGCAGCATAATTTCAAATTTCCGGGGTCGCCACACCAACCTGCTGCTATGTTTAGTGGGACTACTTGTGCATAAATGATTCCAATTTCTTTTTTCCATTTATTGTTTTTTTAAATCTTTTCTTTTAGCCCCAGCCATGTTCCAACAAAAGAATGTTCACGCTGTGTAAAACCTTTTAAAGATCAAAAAAAACTGGAAACCCACTAACTAATAGCAAAACCATTATGAACATAGGGATTAGGGAGGGTTTGGGTCAATGTGGAGAGCTAATGAAAGCCAAATGAAGTGGGGAGATATTTTTCTATAAATACCTACCAAAAGTTATTTTTCTAACGTTCCATCAAAATGCACATTTCACTGGTAAAAGCAAAGGGGTTTAGAGTGAGGCATCATGGCCTGAAGTACCTGATTTACAAAAGGCAGAACAACGGGAGATTTTTTTCAGCTGTGGAAGAACTCCTGTCCCAAAAAAGATTTAAAAATGTAAGAGGACTGCAAGGGTGATGGGGGAAAAAAAAAGCTGAGCTATGAATGCCATCAGGCCCAGTTTCCAATGATGGAAAGTGGAAAGTGTTGAAACCAGTTCAGAAACATAAAAGGCATAGCATAAAACCTGTCTCTGCTAGAAAAAAATTAAAGGGAGTAATTTGGTGCTTTGGAGGAAGAAAGAGGGTAAAGATGGACGCCCCGAGAGATACGGACATGAGGGGCACAGATGGACTGCCTGAGATATGGACAAGATATTTCCAAACTCTGTCAACTTCAAAAGTTTGCAAAGCTGACAATTGGGGACTCAAAAAGGACCCGGCTGGAGTGTACTGCCAATCAGTTTCCATAGTTTTTTTCCAAAAATCATCATAAGGAAGTGAAATAATGGAAAAACAAATCCAACCCAAAAGTGTTTAGCTTCTGGATGACATGTTTGGGGAACGCTTTTACCCACTTAGTAATAAGTAAGTAATTTATTGGTATACACAAAACAGTTTCAAGAATTATCAATTTTTTAGCTTGGTTTAAAAACCTAGGAAACCCAAAAAAAAAACGAGTGACTTTTTCCATTGGGGTCCTTTTACCTTTTTATTATGTATAAAGGTTATAATATTTTCTTATTTTCTACAAGAAGTAAATCTTATCAACTAAAAAAGACTATCTGCGACACCAAGGTCATTTAAAACTATCTCAATACAGGGTCATTACAAGGAATAAAGGAAAAATTTTCACTTAAAGTTAGCTAAAAAATAGAAAAACATTCCCCTCCCTTTCGTGCTACATTTCACCTTTTTTCACTCTTCTTGAACGGGTTTACGCTATATGGCTTTGACATGTGCGGGGGGTTTCTGTTCCCTTTCCCTTTTTTGCTGTCAAAAAAAGGGTGTTTGAAGCCCCGGGCCCCTGACTGTGGGTAATACAAGTTGTGCCTCTCCCCCTAGTTCTATTATTGCTTTGGTTTCCCCGCCTTGACAAAATTTCAGCAAGAATTTTGGACATTGCTTTTGAGCAATTTTTATAACATATTTCTTCAGTTTTTTACTCTGTCTTCAACTTCAGCATATCCAACTGCTGTAATTTATCCGGCCCACATGTTCTCTTGGTCCCCCCCCAGGTAATTTAATTTTGTTCTGGGGATTTTTCATCTATCTTTCAGT